ATCAACCGACCAAACGACCGACCGACCGACCAACCAACCGACCGACCAACCAACCAACCAACCAACCAGCCAACCAACAAAACTTAAAAAAAGATCAATAATTGAGAATTGAATTAACAAAAATAAGGAAAACGAAAAATACAACAACAATAAAACAGGCAGCCATCTGTCCTAATCACGTGGTCCTGATCAGCCAACCTCATTTCTCACGGTTGTTGGTAAGCCTAATATTTTTTCTAATCATGTTTTGACGTTTTTAGAATCCATGTGCGTCAAGTCCCTGCCCTAAAAATCAAACCTGCAGGCCAGACTTTGAGTTCAACACTTTTCGTTGCGAAGGTTAGAAACATTAAAATGTCTTTCTATAAGAATGGTTATCGTATGGGCTGGAAACATTCGGTACTGACTTACACTGAGCACGTACCCGGAACGACATGCCGTTACATTGAAATGGCTATGGTTAAAGTATGAGTGGGAAACATACGGTATTGCATGACTTATAGCACGTACACCGTACGGGTAGCCTCGATTTTGCATAATTACGCTATTATGTTGCTGGGCGCTTTTCTGAATTTTTTTATTTTATTTGGATCTTTTTTGGTGTAGCAAGTTTTATTGTATTCTGTATTGGGGTTTTTGAAGGGTATTATTTATCTCCAAACTCATTGTCATTGGCTATTATTTTATTGGGTTCATGCCAAAGGTGCCTTCCAACACCAGTAAGGAGTCATTTGTTTTAAGTGTACTGAAGTTGGAGCTAGAACTATCGAGCAGAAAGCAATTTTCAAAATCAAACTGACGCCGCGTAATATAACATGGAGGATAGCGTTAACGCTTTTTCCACTTAAATTTTAGACAACAGTTCTTGCGCAGGACTCAATCGTTTAGGAGAGAACAATAATGGCGTGTACAATATTACCCCAATCCCAGGATACACCATCCAAGTCTTCTGTGATCAAATAACTGACGGGGGAGGCTGGACCGTGATACAAAAAAGACTTGATGGATCGGTGGATTTCTTTCTTGGATGGGACGATTACAAGCGAGGTTTTGGAAACAAGAATGGAGAATACTGGCTTGGGCTTGATGCCATGTATATCTTGACTAACAGTATACAGAACGAGATCAGAATTGACCTGGAGGACTTCAGTATGAGCAAAACCTATGCGATGTATGACTTGTTCAAAGTTGGAACAGAATCCCAGAAATACGAATTGTTCCTTGGATCCTTTAAAGAAGGTAGTTATAACGTCCTATGTTTCAGAAGAAAAAAATTAAAATAAGAAATAAAAAAATAGATTTTGAAAACAATGGAAGCGAGAAAAGGGAGGGAGGAGGAATGAAATGAAAGCGATGAATGGATTAATGGATGGATGGACGAATGCAAAATTAT